GAATTTACTGCCTGGTTGAATTTACTGCTTGTAACTAATTAACTCACCTGGAGACACAGGCATCTGGAGATAGGGGCAAGTGCTGCAGCCCCCAATGCCTGACCTGTCTGATCTGTGTCGTGTCATGTAGGCATGTCTGCTTACACAAGATAACAGGGAAGGGTCGTTCCAGGCACATACCACCCATCCCTCCCCGATTGAGACACCTGAAGGGAGTTGTAACATTTTTCTTGTTTTGAAGTTATTGGTTTGTGAAATGCTTGCTTTGAAACTATTGGTTGTATAAACGTGGGCTTTTGTGTAACGGTTGTGGGAGCCTATATAATCTTTACCTGAAATTGCCTTAGGTTTGATCGCTCTAACCAGACCTGCGTGTCTTGAAAGGATGGTCGGCCCCAGCTAGCTGGTTTAATAAATCTCTGCTTGATTTTTGCATCTCCATACTCCTGCATTTGTTCTCCTGAAGAGACCCACCGAGTCATGGACCCTAACATTTTGGGGGCTCGTCCCAGATTCGGGGGGGGTTCTGGAGGCAGAGTTTCTTTTCTCTGGACAGGGCAGTGTAATTCGAGGGTCGTCCCCTCGTGTCTGTAAAGTCCAGAATAAAGCGAGAGTCGCCATCTCGTGTCTGGTCTCAGGTTAGTAGTCCCGAGTGAGGAAGTCCGGGTTTCCACCGAGTCATGGACCCTAACATTTTGGGGGCTCGTCCCAGATTCGGGGGGGGTTCTGGAGGCAGAGTTTCTTTTCTCTGGACAGGGCAGTGTAATTCGAGGGTCGTCCCCTCGTGTCTGTAAAGTCCAGAATAAAGCGAGAGTCGCCATCTCGTGTCTGGTCTCAGGTTAGTAGTCCCGAGTGAGGAAGTCCGGGTTTGAGTCCCGGCACCTAAGTGAAAGTCCAGGTAACCAGCCCTGGCCCTAGGGTCCGAGTGTCTTGGTCCTAGGAAGGAAGCCTGCCATCAAATCTGGAGCCCAAGGAGGAAAAAATCGAGCTGGTCATTTTGAGGCAGTCCCAGTGGATGCCATTTGGGAGAATCACGAGAAGTCTCGGGCATCCTGAAGGTGAGAGTGGTGAGTGCAGCGCATGTCTGAGTGAAAGAAGGACTGGTCCGCATGAATGTGATTCAATGTGGTGCGTGTGCTTGATGGTTGTGCTAATTGTCTTACTGGGGGGGGGCCTGGTTTTGTATTTTTCTCTACGCTCCCTATTTTAAACCTTCCCTTCCTCCTTTTCTTTCCTTTTATTCTCAGTCTAAGTCTTCGTGTGGGACCATTAAAGGTGAAAGAGCAATTGAGGTTTTCTGATCAGGGCTACTCTCTGATGTCAGCCAAAGGCTCTTAGCCCTCTTGGCGGACCCCGACTGCCCACATGGGTGGAGACAAGACTGCTTATCTGTATCTCTCTCTCCTCTTCATCCCTCTCTCCAGCCACTGAGAAAGCCCCGCGGGCATGGGGCGAGCAAATAAAAGCCATTAGGGTGCCTGCCGCTGAAGGACTCCCGTGAAAGGATAAGGGGATCCCAGGCATGAATCCCAGATAAATTCACATCCCCCGCAGAAGAAAAACTGGGTAATGACAAGCACCCATCCACAAGCACACCCACTGGCCATCATTGTTTAGAGTGGCATCTTCACTTCTCCCTTTTCATCTCTCTCTCTCTCTCTCTCTCTCTCTCTCTCTCGCTCTCGCTCTCTCTCTCTCTTCCCCAGTCCTGGTTAAGGCCCTTCTTGGTGAGAAAGCCTCATGCTTGCCCACCAAAAGTCTCCATCATGGTCACCCAGGAAGGTTTGAAGTCCTCCAGTCACAGAGGCGGGGACCCTAGTGCTCCCCCAGTTCTCCCTGAGAGCTCCTCCCTCTACCCCCCTTTGCCCATTGAACAGCCTCCACCTTATGCAGCTCCATGAGGAGGAGAAGCCGAGACAGCCTATGGAGGGGGGATGGAGCTGGGGGTCCCCATGGGAATCCAGTGGTTGCCCCCTCCCGAGACTCCTCTATAAGAGAGGATAGACAACCTGGGGAGGTGGGAGGAATGCAATTAAGGTCTCGAGGACACAGGGGCTGAGTGGGGGAAGCTCCATCCTCCACCACAGGAGGAGCCGTGCCAGTTCTGCCGGTCTGAATGGTCGGCGGCCCAGATGGAGTTCAGCACTATCAATACTGGCCATTTTCCTCTAGCGATCTCTACAATTGGAGGACCCAAGATCCTCCCTTTTCTAAAGGCCCTAAGTGTCTAATAGGTTTGGTAGAATCCATTATGTACACCCATTGTCCCATGTGGGATGACTGCCAGCAGCTACTTGGCACCCTCTTCACAACAGAAGACCCAGAAAAGCCCTTCATTTTGTTCATAGATGAAAAGAAGGGAGTGGCCAAAGGAGTCCTGGCCCAGCAACTAGGCCCATGGAAGAGACCTGTGGCTTACTTGTCCAAGCGGCTGGACCCAGTGGCCTCGGGATGGCCATCGTGCCTGCGCATCTTGGCAGCCATTGCCCTACTGGTAAAGGAAGCTGACAAGCTGACCTTTGGCCAGGACCTGGGGATGACAGCCCTGCATACTGTGGAGGGGATTCTCAGGCACCCTCCAGGGAAATGGATGACAAATGCCAGGCTCACCCACTACCAAGGGCCCTTGCTGGACTCTCCTCGAATCACCTTCTCAGCCCCAGTGACCCTGAATCCTGCCACTCTCCTGCCAGACCCAGACCTGTCAACCCTCATCCATGAATGTAGAGACGTTCTCTCTGAAATCATCCAGGTACGGGCAGATATGAGAGACACACGGCTGCCAAATAGTGAATTAGACTGGTATACAGATGGAAGCAGCTTCATGCGGGATGGGGTCAGAAAAGCTGGAGCAGCAGTAGTGATGTACGAGGGGGAAGTCATTTGGAGTGCAGCCCTGCCCCCTGGCACCTCAGCCCAGAGGTGGAACTTATTGCTCTCGCAGAGGCACTGGAGAGAGCAGAAGGCAGGGGAGCTAACATTTATACCTATAGCAGGTATGCCTTTGGCATTGTGCATGTTCATGGCTCCATCTACCAGGAAAGAGGATTCCGGTCCGTAGAAGGAAAGGAGCTGAAGAACTTGCAGGAAGTTCAAAGACTGTTAGCAGCTGTGGAAAGGCCTAGGGCGGTGGCCGTTATACATGTTCCTGGGCACCAGTCCAGAAAGACTCCTGAGGCTATTGGTAACAACTTTGCTGATGCAGAGGCCAGGAGGGTAGCTCTCTTAGACCCCATTGTGCTGGCAGCTCTAGAGGTACCCATACCTGAACGACCCACCTTACCCCCCAGACCTGACTATTCCCCACGGGACCTTGAGTGGATAAGAAAACAAGATCTGGGAGAAAAGCCTGGGGAGGGAGGTTGGAGTAGGGACCGGGAAGGTAGACTGATCTTACCAGAAGTACTAGGGAAATACATGCTCACCAACCTACACAGATCCACCCATCTAGGTTGGAAGAAGTTGCTCAGTCTTTTTCAGAATGCACAGTTGGTATTTCCACACCAGAA